GGCCGCCGCTGCAGCCGGTGCACCGCGCTGATCCGATGGCAGGAGCCAGGAGCCAGGTGCTTTTCCTGGTCTCCCATGGGGTGCAGGGCCCAAGCACCTGGGCCATCCTCCACTGCACTCCCTGGCCATAGCAGAGAGCTGGCCTGGAAGAGGGGCAACCGGGACAGAATCCGGCGCCCCGACCGGGACTAGAACCCGGTGTACCGGCGCCGCAAGGTGGAGGATTAGCCTATTGAGCCACGGCGCCGGCTCAGATGCCATTTTAGAATAAAGGTAATTATCACTCTGACTGAACTAGTTTGGGTTCTCGGTGTGTGTGTGTGTGTGTGTGTGCTAGTTTGAGACATTAACCAATCATTTACATGTACGGTCTTTGAGTATGTGAAAGCCATTCACATACAAATTGAAATATCTGGGCAACTGCTGATCTCTCATTCAAGTCAAGTGCTCTTCCCACCATCATTTCCAAATTCTTCTGCTGAGTTACATACAACCTTGCCACAACTATAGTAGTTGCTTTTTTTGTATTCTTGCCTTTGGGCTTATTGTTCTGTCTACTAGAAAAACTCTTCCTACTTTTTTTTTTTTTTAAGATTTTTGGTTTGTTTATCTGAAAGGAAGAGATACAGACAGAGGAGATACATACAGAGAGAGATCTTCCATCTGCTGGTTCACTCCCCAGATAGCCACAACAGCTGGGGCTGGGACTGGGGCTGGGCCAAGCCTAAGCCAGGAGCAAGGAGCAGGGACCCAAACACTTGGGCCATCCTCCACTGCTTTCCCAGGCGGGCGCATTAGCAGAAAGCTGGATCGGAAGTGGAACAGCTGGGACTTGAACTAGTGCCCATATGGGATGCCGACACTGCAGGTGCAGGCTTACCTTCTATGCCATAGCGTGACCCATCTTCCTAGCTTTTTACGTGTGGGGAATGCAGGTTCACTTTCTGAACTCCATCTCAAAGCTCTCACCCCAGGCAGAATTGATTGCTCAAGAGGAGCCCTGTTCAACTTAAGATTACTCTTGGCACATTTATTATCCCATGGGATTGTGACTTTCCTGAGTTTGGAGCCTGCTTCCTGTTCATTTTTGCATTTTGAGTGCTTTCTATGTTTTTTTTTTGGACAGGCAGAGTGGACAGTGAGAGAGAGAGACAGAGAGAAAGGTCTTCCTTTGCTGTTGGTTCCGGCACCGCGCTGATCCGAAGCTGGGAGCCAGATGCTTCCTCCTGGTCTCCCATGGGGTGCAGGGCCCAAGCACCTGGGCCATCCTCCACTGCACTCCCTGGCCACAGCAGAGAGCTGGCCTGGAAGAGGGGCAACCAGGACAGAATCCGGCGCCCCGACAGGGACTAGAACCTGGTGTGCCGGCGCCACAAGATGGAGGATTAGCCTAGTGAGCTACGGCGCCGGCTGCTTTCTATGTTTTATCACACTGGTAGGCACCAAGCTAGCTTTGATGGTCTGAACCATGAAATGGAAATCTTCTAGCTATTCAAATTCTAGTTATAATGATATTTCTTAATGATCAGAAATGATTTTTAAAGATTTATTTCTTTATTTGAAAGGCAAGAGTTACAGAGAGAGGGGAAGAGAGAGTGAGAGAGCAAGAGAGAGAGCCAGAGAGAGAGAGCAAGAGAGAGAGTGAGAAAGAAAGCGAGAGAGAGAGCAAGAGAGTGCTTCCATCCAATGGTTCATTCAACACATGGCCACACTGGCCGGAGCTGGACCAATCTGAAGCCAGGAGCCAGGAGCTTCTTCCAGGTCTCCCATGTGAAAACAGGGGCCCAAGCACTTGGGCCATATTCCAGTGCTTTCCAAGGCCATAAGCAGAGAGCTGGATCAGAAGTGGAGCAGGGGCCAGCGCTGTGGCGCAATTGGTTAAAGCCCCAGCCTTCAGTGTCGGCCTCCCATATGGGCACTGGTTCAAGTCCCAGCTGCTCCTCTTCTGATCCAGCTCTCTACAATGGCCTGGGAAAGCAGTAGAAGATGACCCAACTCCTTGGGCCTTTGTAGCCACATGGGAGACCCAGAAGAAACTCCTGGCCTGGCTTCGGATCAGCTCAGCTCTGGCCATTGTGGTCATTTGGGGAGTGACCCAGCAGAATGGAAGACCTCTCTCTCTCTCTCTCTGGCTCTACCTCTCTCTATAACTCTGTCTTTCAAATAAATAAAACAATTCTTTAAAAAAAAAAAGTGTGGCAGCTGGGACTCAAACTGCTGCTCATGTGGGATGCTGGCGCTGCAGACAGAGGCTTAGCCTTCTACACCACAGCACCAGGTGCCCCCACCCCAGTGCTGATTTTCAACACACACTCTGCATGTTTGGTTTTATGTTGCTTCTCCTGCTTTCATGCAGTCTAAATGAGAATGTGAGGCATCACTATTGCTTTAACGAAAAATTGAACTCAAAGTATCTTCGTTTTGAGTAGAAGATAAGACTCTAGCATTTTGCTGTGTTAGTGAAGGAAGAAAAAGGTTCAGCCATGGCTACGAAAGCCAGTGTGGGTAAGGCAGTCTGCTGGCTTTGGAACAGAATAGCGTTTCCTCAGCCTGCCTGTGCAGACCCCAGCTGCCTGCAGGCAGCCTCCTTGCAGAACCCGCGTGCATCCAGGCGCTGGAGCTTTGACTGACCTTAGCTTCAAAGGCAGGTGGTGTTCTGCGGTCAAACTCTTTGATCCACTTTAAAATCAATGACAAGTCTTCTTAGGACTCCAGGTATGTTCTCCCCTCTGAATTCTCCCAAATAAAGTATGAAAAACCTAGGTCTCTGCGCTCATCTAGCTCCTCTCAATCTTCTTCATTTTTTTAAACATGAACTAGGGATTGAGCCCAGGTACTTGGTGTGAGATGCAGACACATCCTAACCTGGAGCCTTAATCACTAGGCCAAAGGCCAGCCCCGATCTCTTTGTTCTTCATATGAATTTATTTAGAGTTATAAATAATCTCCACCCTAGTTCTTTGTTTCCTGTCACAGAGGCTCCTTCAGTGCAGAACTATTAACTGAGTGTAATTATTATTATTATTACTACTACTGCGTATGATTTCAATAGGGATACAATTATTAATAAGAGTGTAATGCACAATCTGATCTTTTAGGAAGGTGAACTTTCCCCTCATGCACACTGGGGTCAGAAGCATCGCCTGGGGAAGGCCCACACTGAGCAATGCCCCAGGCCCTGGAGGCAAGAAAAGGCAGTTTTGTTTTGTTTCTTCAGCTTGAAGGTGGAGCTCATACTTCACATGCAGCAGTTTGGAAGTAGAACTTGCATAAACACGGGTGTCAGAGAGGGAGCTGCCGACGCGAGCAGGAGAGTGAACGCCTGGGATGCCGTGGCAAAAGTCATCCTCCACCACTGATCTTTCTGCAGGGCACCTGCTTGGCCGTAGTGGATCCTGGCTTTGGTTCTTCAACTATTGCATACAAAGTTTCAAGCCAGTAGGGTCGTAGTTAGTGTACTGCAAGAAAGACTTGTGCTTTCTTTTTCTTTTTATGGAGGTTTCTACTTTAGAACAAAAATCCATGCTGGTTGTTCTGTGTAGCATCCGTGAGATCCAAACCTGGTGTTGCTAAGTTCTTATCTGATTGTAATCTTTAGACTGTAGGAATGAGAGATCAAAATCCCCAGGAATTCTCAGGAATTCCTGAAGGCATCAGGTGTTGTCTTTTAAATACTTCTGAGGCAGGCACCTTGGTACAACAGTTAAGACACCTCTTGCGATGCCAGCATTCCAAACCAGAGGGTCTGGATTCAAGTTCTGGCTCTGCTTTTGATTCCGGCTTCCTGCTAATGTGTACCCCAGGAGGCAGCAGGGGATGGCCCAAGCAGTCTGGTCCCTGCCACCTGTGTGGGAGACCCAGGTTGAGTTTTGGTCTCCAGGCTTTGGTCTGCCCTAGCCCCAGCTGTTATAGGCATTTATGGAGTGACTCACATATGGGAAGATCTGTTTTTGTCTCTCTCTGCCTCTATCTCTCTGCCTTTCAAATAATAAATAATTTTTTTTCAAAAGGACACAAAAATAAAATACAGCATTATTTACATTATTTGCATATTATTATAAACACCTAAAATTGCAGTTAATAAATAAATATTATATTTAATTTAATAAATAAATATTACATTTAATAGTTTGAGGGGATCTTCAAAAAACTCAAGGAAAATGTGTATTATGAAACAACTGTGCAGTAATTTCCAATTTTTTGCACCAAAATAGACTTATCTTTTAAATCAATGTTTCCACAAACTTTAGGAAGTAACCTCATAAAGATTTTTTTTGCCCAAAGCAAACATTCAAATATTGTAAAAGGCCAGCGAGCATTATTGGATAGTATGTGAATGATGTAACATTCAGATCTTTCAGCACTTCACAGAATCGTGTCCTGAAATTGCCAATTTAAAAACTTATATTGCTTTCAAAACTTGTTTTCTTAGAACACAGCTCGAAGGATTTGTTTAAAGTATCCTACGTGTATAAATACACCAATATTTATTTTATTTGCAATCATGACTCACTGTCAGCACCAGCCAGAGCTGTGAACACTCACCTACAGCAACAGCTCCAGGCAAGACTGGCACATTCAATGGGGTCCACTTCTCCAGTCCCAACTCTCCGAGACATGGCCCACCTTGACTTCCACTCTGCTCACACGCGTCATCGGAACCCTTCAGCTCCGAAACAGCTCCTCATTAACGACCACCTTTTTAATTCTTGCAGGAGAATGGGAAAAAAAATTTTTCCCCAATTTTCTTGATTTCTCCACAGATTTTTCTCAGGACTTAAAAAACACTCAGTTTCCCCCAAACATCCTAGGAAGAGATTCTCACATGGAAGCGCTACCCCAGCCTGACCTTCCATGGCTGACGATAGCTGAGGCTTGCAGCTGCAGATTGGGTAGAAGGTTTTAATCCTACACAATCCTCGGTAGAAGGCTTAACTCCTCTAACTAGTATTGTAGAACGTGGAGTCTGTTTCCTAACTTGTCAGAGCTTCCACTTACCCTTTCTTTTTTTTTTTTTTTAAGTTTTTACAGTTTACTAATTCCCATGAAAAATTCGCACAATCACTGTAGATAAATTCACTGCAAAATCTTTACTCCTTCGGCTTTTTGCCAGCACCAACGTTGGCCTTGGCAGTTCCCCTGACCTTCTTCATCCTGTTCTTACGCTCCTTTCGCTGCTTTCTTGAAGTCTTTTTCTTCTCATACAGACCATGTCTTGCAAGTCTGTGTTTGGGTTCATTTTTCTTAGCATAATCCAAGGAATCGTAAATCATGCCAAAGCCTGTTGTCTTGCCACCACCAAAATGAGTTCTGAATCCAAACACAAAGATGACGTCAGGAGTCGTCTTGTACATTTTGGCCAGTTTTTCCCGAATCTCTGTCTTCGGCACCGTCGCCTTGCCAGGGTGGAGCACGTCAATGACCATCTGCTTCCTCTGCAGTAGTCGGTTAGTCATGAACTTCCGGGTCCGGATGGTTACTGTGTCGTTCATGATGGCGGTAGACCCTCACACAGCCAGGGAGGAAAAGAGAGCCACCCTTTGCCGGCCAATCATATCAGCGCTCCCACTTACCCTTAAAATTGAGAGTTCTCATCAGTTTTAAGAGAAGCTTAAAGTTATTTCGTGAATATATGTGCAGGTCTTGGTTACACTTATTTTAGTTCTCTTTGATTATGTTTACCCTTAAGTGTTTAATGCTTTTTTATGCTACTATAAATGAGATGGTTTTCCTAATCTCCTGTATGGATGGTTCTTTTTAGTGCATAGGAATGCAACTGACGTTTGTGTGTTGATTTTGCGTCCTGCTGCTTTACTGAATTCATGTACTAGTTCCAACAGTTTGTTGTTGTTGTTGTTGGAGATGTTAGGGTTTTCTACACATAAGAACATGACCTTTGCCAACAGAGATCATTTTGCTGCTGCTTCTCTAATTTGGACATCTCTGATTTCTTTTTCTTGCCTACTTGTGAGGACTTGTAGCACTATGTTGTGTGGAAGTGGCGAGAGTGGGCATCCCTGCATTCTCTCAGATCTTAAAGGAAAAGTTTCCGGTTTTTCACCATTGAAATGGTGGCTGTAGGGTTTAATTGTGTGTGTGTGTGTCTGTGTGTATTTATGTGTCCTTCATTGTGTTAAGTTCCTACTACAACTGATTGTTGCCAGTTTTTATCATGAAAGGATGATGAATTTTGTCAAACTTTGTTTCTTCATCTATAGATAAGATCATGTGATTTTGTTCTTAATTCTCTTATTGTACCAGCTCTATGTGGAGTCTAAAATAGTCGCTCATACAGACAGAGGGTAGGGACCCAGCCAGGGGCTACAGGGAGCTGAAAACAGGGATGTGTTAGTCAATGGTACAGAGTTTCAATTGGACTAGCAGATTAAGTCCTAGAGATCTACTGTATGACATAGTGTATAAGTCAATATTGTGTTGTATGCTTAAAAATTGGCTACAAGGGTAGATCTTATATTAAGTGCCCTTATCGTAAAAATTTAATAATAATAATAAAGAGAGTGGAGAAATCTTTCAGAGGTGATGGATATGTCTATGGCATAGAGTGTGGTAATGGCCCCACAGGTGTAGACTTGTGTCCAAACTCAACAATTTGTATAGATTAAATCTATACTGCTTTGCATGTCTGTCCTTCCTTAATAACATGGTTTTTCTAAGAGAAGCTGGAGGTATGGGAGTGGTGCCAGGGCCACTATGAAGAGCAGAGGGTACAGGTCTGTGGGGACAGTGCTTGGGGGGACAGGGGTTCCCATGAATTCCCATGAGAGGCCAGGGTGGATACTGGCTCCAGCCAACAGCACTCTCCCAGGGAAACTGGGGGCTGCACCTGGCAGGAGACCCCAGCACCTTTGCTGGGTTCATTTCCAACTTTCTCTGTGCTCAGACATTACAGGATACTTCGTGCTGAATCCACATCTACAGGGAAGTTTGTTGGTTAGTATGAAACAGTGATAAAACAAGAATGGAAGTCTCCTCCTTCCCCCCGCGCTGTGTTCCCTACCTAAACAGAGCAGACATGTTATCACTCTGGATGCGTCTCCGAATGCGATGAGACTGGGGTGGAGTGGGAAGCGCTGAGCTTTTCCTGAGTGGGAGAGGGGCTGGCAGTTAGTGAGCTCAGGGTCGATTCGTAGCACACGTCTCCTCCTGCTTCTGGGACCACCGAGTGCTCTCTGCTGTGGCTAGGTACTGTCAGCTAACTCTGGCTTTGTCAAGGTAACTTGTTTGTAGCAGGAGGAGCCCTGGTCAGTGTGGGAAAAGCTGTATTAGAAAACTATTTGGCATAGCTGCTTTAGCTATGCCAGTTTCACATGTTTAAGTTTCCATGGAATGTTTACCATCCGCAGAGGAATGAGAACTTCCTGGCGAACCATCTCAGCTTCCCATCTATGACCGGAACAGATTACGTAGAAACAACCACACACTCACACCACCCACATCACGGCCTGCACCTGGCAGGCTCCTCGTCTTTCGCACCTCTGATGCTTGCCCAGAGACCCCAGGTCCCGAATCCCAGCAGGCCACATGCACCTGCAGTAGCTAGTGATCGTCATCCTAGTTTTGCTGGTAAAGAAACAGGTCTAGTGAGACCAAGGAGCTCACTGAGGATAACAGTGATGGGAGTGCCGGAGCCGACTTCTGAACATGGCTTATTGTCTGTAAGATGTGTTTACTGCAGGGTTTCAGCACGATCGAAACATTCTTCAAAGAGCTCGAGATTATACATAAGTATTCTGTCACAGCCGATAACTTTGGGGAATAAATGCAACCCCTGCTTTGTTTCTGAGACACTTTTAAAGAAGCACTTATTAGGAACATTTTGCATAATAAAATTTTCTCCCACATTTCCTGTAGGTTGAGGAACTGCTGCTGTTGTAATTTTGCTATAAAATTTTCATGGTTAATCAGCTGATTCTTTATAGCTCACTGACATTGACTGGTCTTCCTTAAAGTCAAGATTTTTACAAAAATCTGCCCAAACCAACTCAAACTAACAAGCCTAGAATGGAAAATTGCCTAGTTGTACAAAAGGATACATGCTAATAATCTAGTAGTTGAATGATAATTTAATGGTTACTTTGTGTCATAGTTGCTGAAAGTAACTTTTAAAAATATTTATTTATTTAATTACTTATTTGAAAGGCTGGGAGAGAGAGAGAGAGAGAGGAGAGAGAGAGAAAGAGTTTTTCCATATGCTTGAATGGTTCATTCCTCAAATGGCCACAATAGCTGGGGCTGAGCCACGTCAGAGCCAGGAACTCCATCTGGGTTTCCGGCAGGGACTCAAGCACTCGAGTCATCATCTGCTGCTCCCTGTGAACAGTAGCAGAAGCTGGACTAGGAGGACAGCCAGGGCTGTGTCCCAGGCAGCAGCATAATCCACTGTGCGCGGCAGTGCCCTCCCTGAAGGTAGCTTTTAATAACTCACAGAAGGATGAAACCTGCAGCGTATTGGAAAGGCATTTTTCAAGAGGTGAAGAGGTTCATGGAACCAGGAATCAAGAGCCATGGATGATGGTGTAGAGCTAACCCTCTTCTCTTCTCTTCTCTTCTCTTCTCTTCTCTTCTCTTCTCTTCTCTTCTCTTCTCTTTTCAATTTAGTTATTTGAAAGGCAGAGTTACAGAGAAGGCAGAGGCAGAGAGAGAGAGAGAGAGAGAGAGAGCTATCTTAGAGAGATCGATCTTCCATCTGCTGGTTCACTCCCTAGACGGTTATAACTGCCAGCACTGAGCTAGGCCAAAGCCAGGAGCCAGGAGCTTCTTCCCAGTCTCCCACGTGGGTGCAGGGACCCAGGACTTGGGCCGTCTCCTGCTGCTTTCCCAGGCGCATCAGCAGGGAGCTGGATCGGAAGTAGAGCAGCCAGAATGCCTGTGCGGAATGCCAGCAGTGCATGTGGTGGCTTTACCTGCTACTCCACAGCACCAGCCCCCAGCCAACCCTATTCCTTGTGGAGGTTTAAAGTGAAATCCATCAGGAAACCAACTGGTGAAGAGGCAACCTAAAACATTCGTTTGTCCAAGACAGTTCCCTAACCAAATTAGGGAACAGAATTAAAAGGCCATTTTGGGATGATGATTGGGGATTTTGAAAAAGAAGAAAACGCACCTTTCAAAGGATCCATCTTTTGAACTTGGGGCAGAGCCCTCCTTCGTTACAAGAGCTGTACACCTCTGCCCACCTGGCCACTCTTTGGTCCTAGTTATTGTGTCTTTGCATGCTGTAAATCCTATCACTTTGCACTGGATTCCCTACTCACAAGTTTCCTCTTGGACTCTGATGGTCTGTTATTTGGAGTTGAAACGTTTAAAGGTTTGACCTGGCACGATCCATTCCAGGCCACCTTGATTAGATGCATCACACTTGGTCACCTCATGCTTCAGCTCTAGCAGCTGGGTCTGGGTCTTTCCTTGGGTCAGTCTTTCCTGCTGTCTTGCCCCAGAAAAGCTCATGATGATCTTGCTGACCATGATGGACGAGAGATACCAGAGAAGGGCAGCCAGCATCTAAAATGCAAAGGAGAGAATGAAATTAAGGAGCATCTCAAATGAAAACTTAACAGAATGTCATAACTAATCAGATGTGGTTAGTGAAGAAAAGACTGCTGTGAAATGGTGTTTGAGCTTCGGGGACTGGGGAATGATGGTACCTATCATCAGATAAATAAAAGGCACATAGGTAAGAGAAAAGATATTGACCTTGGGCCATCAATGGGACTTCTTGTCAGGTAAGAATAACAGGATTTGTGGCCTTACAATGGAAGCATGAGAGGGGCAGATACGAGGATAGAGATTGGTGGTTGCTAAAGCACTCTGAGTAGAAGAGAATTCAACTAAAAAAGAAAAGATAGCCTGAGTCATGACCACACAGTGGGACGGGAAGAGCACAGGAGATAGTTACAATTAGGAAAAATGAAAGATATGAACAAAGTGAGGGCTTTGTAAGAGAATCCAAAGGAAAAGACAATGTCAGAAAGTAGATATCACGGGGTGGGCATTTAGGCAGCAGTTAGGATGCCACATAAGGACCTCCCCACCCCCCACCCCCGTCTCATACTGGAACACGTGAATCTGATTCCAGCTTCCTGTTAATGCTGACTTTGGGAGACAGCTGTTCTACTAGATGGCTCTAGGAATTGGGCTCCAGCCAACCAGGTGGGAGACCTGGATTGCACCCCCGGCTCCCAGCTCCCTTGCAGGCATCTGAAGTAAACCAATGGGTAGAGGCTCTCTGTTTCTCTGCCTCTCAAATAAATGAATTAATCATTTTCTGAAAGCAGGAGTGGCAGGAGGACCACCGTGTTTAATGGTGGAGGAAGCGCTGATCAGCTGGGGAGAAAACTTTCAGGAGAACTAGCAGAAGGCTGCCTCGCTGATGTCTGTGTCCTTCCTGGAGGGATGGTGGGAGGACAAAAGCTTGGAATGCTATTCCAGTCGGAATCTGAGACCAGCATGGGAGGCCATGGAATGTGCAGCATCATGGGTGTGAAAAAACACAGCCAGTCTTGAGATAGAAAGTCCCCAGTTCTG